GAGAGAGAGAGAGAGAGAAAATTAGTAGAAAAGTACAAAAAAGTTTTCCCCTTTTTCTTTCCAAGTTGACGAGCGGGAGTCGCGCGCTTCCGTTGTCTCGCGACTCGAGTATCTTTATTTTCTTTTTTTGTCCCCCCTTTTTCTGTTTTGCGCGTGTAAATATCTCTTGATTCTTCCACAGTGCGTAGAGCTGTGACTTGCGGTATAAAGGGGGCGGTAAAGAGAATCGAATCTTGTACCTAATCTGTCTCCGGGGGAGGGGGGAGGGGGGGGGGGATAGACCAATGTCTCTTTTGGAGCGCAGTTATTTATTCTACGAATTGTACAATTCGTCGGCGCGCACGGGAGCCCGCCGCACGACCCTCGACATTACGTCTTTATTAATCTCTTGTTGCACTCTTATTTATTGATTCACGTTTTTTTTTTCTATTTGAGCTATTGCACTGTATTGATAATTACGAATTGATCAAGTTATCGCCGTTAATGTTTTTTACACTTGGTAGTTGAGAGAATTCTTCTGTTAGAATTTACGCTTGTACGAATCTAGTAAGGGAAAACACATTCCACTCCGCATGTGGTGCAAACTAATTTAAGTTCTTACCTTAAGGTATTTTAAGCATAAAATTCTCGCTTATTTTTATAACTATTTATTTTCGAAGTAATTGTAAGTATATCTATTTGTAAGACATCTCTACTTTACTGTTTGCCAATAGGGGCGGAATGAGCGTTACGTCATCTTTTCATCCTACGAAATCTTGAACCATCCGCGAGCGCGAGATGATATTCGCGCGCGTTTTACCGCGAACAGGACCGCACGCAATCACAAATCGCGTGTCACTTCATCGAGTCGTGCATAATCTCTCTTCCTTTTTTTTTTTAGCGTAGGAGCGCGTTCATTTGTCCGAGAACTGAGGACTGTCCGCTTTTTACTCGCGTGCACCTCGAGATTTCGCATTTGTTTGATATCATTGTCCGACCTTTTTAATCTGTGATGCCCGAACTACACCGAAGGATGATCCTGCTTGTGGCTCATCCGAGCGAGTAATGTAGACGGCCGAAAATCATACTGAAGTTAGTTTTCAATCGTACCAACCCAAAAAATTTCTAATTTGTGCCTAAATTCAAGTGGAAGATTGTTTCACATAAATGTGAAGAGATTATGTTACATAAATAGTGTGTCAAACGTGTACAAAATATACATATATTACAAATAAAAATAAGCAGCATCTTCTGTCGGACAGAATAACATTTCGGGATACCTTAAATCGGATGAAAGTTTGTTTTACAGATTAGGTACTGAAATTATTACCGGTCTTAAAGTCAATGATACCAATATAACAACACTAAAATTGTACCTACAGTGTAGACGGGCGAAAGTAGTCGGATGAGCCACAAAGCAGGTGTATCATCATCCGGTGTAGTTCGGGCATTATGAAAAGAGAAATGAAATAAAAATAATAGAACGAGCGATTCTTTCAGTCATCGACACTCGCGTTGCTGACTTAATTAACGCACGCGTCGAGCTAGTAGTCATGCTTCTTCGTTTATTAGTCGCTTTCAATCGGGCGTACCTGCCTCCTGCAATTCACACACACGCGATTTTTAATTAATATAATAATACTCTCCCGTTTGTCTCGGATTTTCGCAGATGACAAATATATCCGTCACCTGTCCACAGTACGTAAAAACAAAAAAAAAAAGAAAAAGAAATAATAAAACTCGCCGCGCCTGTTCAAGCCGCGCGGTCGTGGCACTTTGACGACGTTTTGAAGGGGGGGATTTGTTGTAGAGAGTATGATGTTGTTGACAGGAATGAAAATATAAATAGTCCGAGCTGATCGACGATAACTTAATAATGAAGGGCGCTATCTTACTGTGATGCTGAATATATACTATATTATATATATATTATATATATAAAACAAAGTATATATATAATTATACGATTTAATAACCGTAGCTGATAACGAGCGGCAGCGCTGCAGGAACGCGATTCCGCGCGCCGCCAACTAATTAAACGACCGTAGTATTAACGTTAATCGAGGAACATGGAATACCGATATCGCAATGACAGTCCGTCGTCGCCTGTTGGCGAGCGCACACCAAAATTCACGCAAGATTCTTCTGCGGAACGACACACATTGTACATCGACGATCGTTTGCGTTAAAGGACATTTCCGTTACCGCTCCTTCTTTTCCACAACAATTGTATCGTATCGTTGCATTGTTCGGGCCGCCATCCTCTCGACACGTACCGCGTCCTGGCGTCTCTCCGGGACGGAAGAGCCAACGGATTTGCGCGCGTTAGGATTCAGGAATGAGAAATCTTGAGCAGATGAGAGAAAGAAAAAAAAAAAGAAAAATGAGCCTCCAAGCTTTCACGAAATCGAGATTACGGTACTTCTGCGGTGGTTATCCTTGGTTCTCTTTTTTTTTTTTTTGTCTACTACGTTGCACACATATGTATACATACGTACGACGTTGTACTCAGTATTCTTTCCTTGTCCACGATAAAGGAGCGTTAAAGACTACAGGGATTATAATGTGCATAATGGTAGGGATAGTAGGTGAAGATATGGTGCATCAGAACAGTATTTTTGTATTTTAAACGAGGAGGAACGCGCCCTCCGATCAACATATTATCGGTGATGTTTGCGAGCGTGGGAAATCAGAATGCAACACTCGCTGGAAACGTCTCGACGGCGAACCGGCGGTAATCGGCGGACTTATCGTGAAGCATTATACTTTTCGTAGACCTTTTACCGGAGGGGGAGAGGGGGGGGGGGTGGGGGTGGAGGATGTATGTCCACCGGGAGAAAACGCGGCCATGTGTGCGGATCATCGATCGTACGTACCGGGCAGATCTTGCGTGCGTGAGTGAAACGAATGGCGACTCCGAGGGACCGAAAATGACGATGACGAAACTCGAGAGATAAGATCGCCATGCGAGATCCATCACCTGTTTGCCAGTCACGTTTTTCTTGCCTTCGTTCGTGAACGATTGCTCGGAATTACGAAATACGCAGGTATTTCGTTCCTCATCGCAGCGAGTTTTAATGATTTCGTCTTTTCGACGACTGAAATTAGTGTTTCTTATTAGAGGAACTTGCGACCGACGCTTTAAAAAATTTGCGATTAATTCATTTTATGATCTACGATTAAGTTGAAAAATATATTCGTGAAACCTTGAGTACCAAAAGTTCAATTTTTACTGTTTAATCATTTTCGCAGTTATAAATTTTCCACAAAATTGTGAAGAAGTTAAAGTTGTTCGAATTTTGTTTTAAAATTTGATACGCTGAAGTGGAATACCTTGTTGGAATGAAAGAAGCTACACGGAGGATCGAAGAAAATCTCCGTCTTTGTCCGTCTTTCTCAAGCTGTGCCCTTCTTACTTCCAGTTCAACATATTATCACGAATAGAGAATAGCGTCATAGACTTCTCTCTTCTTTTTCCCCAGAATGTGACTTTTGAGTCTTGCCTTGCTTTTCATCGCGGAGAGACAGCTGTAATAGTCGGCCGACTTGCAGGATTACTTTATTCTAGGATGTATTTTAACATATTAATTTAGCGACACTTGTACGAACTGGTATTGTTCGTATAAATTTCCATTGTTATCGTTGTACTTGAATTTTATCCGAAGCAATCCGAAGTATCGTGCAAACCATTTTCGTCTCCCGACGTAAGAGCCGTCGCCCTTGATGCAATCCATCCTTGTATCTTTATTTATCCTTGTGTGCCATAAAATCTGCCCGTTGAAACGTGAATGATTCACAGTCCGCGCGTCGACACGTGCTAGCTACGCCGTTAAGTTTCCTCAACGCTTTGTAGGATCGACCAATCTTTTTGTCATGCGCAACTCATTCCGCTTGTCGTTTTCCTCGATGCCGGCGCGCATCGGACGTCCAACGCGAAACAGAATCCGAATATCGTTCAACCGCAAGAACTTGCCCGTTGCTTTTCGTGCGCAGGAATGGCGCACGTTCGAGCTCGCGTCGCGACGAAGCTTCTCGAACAGCGCGAGCATCCGAAAGATGTTGCGAGGATGCCTCCGAATTTCGTATCCCGGATGTTTTTAAAACGCCTGCGGACGATCGTTCGGGATTTGCCTCCACGCGGATTTCCAACTCGCAAGAAAAATGCAGTCAGAAATGCCGAGGACATTCCTCTTCTCGGACACGTTTCTTCTGTTTTCGCTCGACTCATCGCGCTTCATTGCGTTTCCATGACAGATGGATGATGCGACGGTCTCGCTGGTTGAAGAACTCTCGCAACGAACGATCCATTACGAATTCGAATTTCCGCGTGGTCGATGATGTTTGAGCCTCATCAAAGCGGCTCTCCGACACGCGTGAATTTTTTCTCTTCGTTACGTTTTTTCGCGTTCGTAAAGTGCGTCGCGTTTCCTTTTTGAGATTTATTCACGTTGACGAATGATTCATCCGGAACTTTGTAATGGAGACACACTTCCATTCGGGGCATGTTAAATTAGGGATATAATAGAAAAAAAAAAACCGCTACTAGAGTAAAACTAAGTCCGAGTGTTTAAACAGTCTACGAGTAATTACATTTGCTAAGCATAATTTCTCGTGTACTTAAGCGAACGAAAAAAATAAAAAAATAAAAATAAAACCGACGAGCAAGTCTCGGTGGCGTAAGCGTTACACAAAGAGCTGTGTAAAATATTACTTCACAGTGTTTCGATTATAAGCAGTCAAATATTCTCTCGCATAATCACTTTCCTCTCAAGAAAGCGCAATAATCGGCGTCCACCCGGGGCCGTGAATATACATAGATCTAGAGATTAGAAGCGAACTAAATATAGATTACGCATTTAAACGCATAAATAAATAGACCGTGAGATACGGAGAATCGACATGACGCTCGCAAGTATGGAGTAATATTTTGCTTGTCTCTGATTACACCGACTATACGATAATTGTCGAGATCGACTGTCCGAATATACCGGGCGGTGTGTGAGAGGGAGAGAGAGAGAGAGAGAGAGAGAAGAAAAAGATGAAGGAAGGGGAAAAAACAGGGCCAGTGTCCTTCCGCTCGCGCCGCGGAAGGATAAACGACGTGACAGCGTTACCGTCGAGTCGCGAGATCGCGCGGCAGCGAGCCGTAGCTTCTTTTTATCTATAAATGGTACCGAAACGCATAATCCGATCCTTCGTAAACCGGCTGGATAAGTCCGGCGTGTAGAAACCTAATCGCTGCCGCGGACGCGCGATGCGGCGGTGAGCGAGCGTTTCCGTGTGGTCTGGAACGGAAGAGAATGTAACCGCAGCTAATTGTTAAACTGACAGAACAGTGAGACAGACAGATCTTAAGGCATCATGGAAATGTCTTGTTTTTTTCTGTGGATTACAATATACTATTTTATTCTAAAACCGCTGGCGATATTCAGTTCGATCCCCGCCCTATCCGCTCCTTGCTGTGCAATTTATTGTAAAAATGAATTTCCCTTCCAGTTCAATGGAAACTTGTCGAGTATCGACGAGAATTCATTTTTACACGTAATCAATTATCCTTTTTTTTTTTGCGAACGAGAGTCGTTGAAGTACATATTATTAAAGTACATATTTCTTTTTATTGATTGACACTTACAGCTTTCAATGAAGGTCGCTTCCGTATATTACGTCGGAATTATGCTTTGTCACTTGCTACAAAGAAGGAATTCCTAGCAGAGAACGCCTTCCGCCTTCAACGCGTGCGACGTTTCAAAATTATACTCTAGACGATTAATATAAAAGGCGTAATAAATTACAGAGTTAATGTAATCCTTAGATTCTAGTAATATTTGGTCATTTGGTCGCTTTTTGTAAAATTAAACAACATTGATATCGTTCAATGTGCACGCCGCTTCCTTAAGACGGACGCGCACTAAATTACTCCATCGAATGATTGAAATACTTTTTGTTGTCAACGTACGAGTCCTCGGACGGAGGAGACAGTACGATGGTAACTTATATTTTACTTAATTCAAATAATCTAACGATTCTATATAATACAAGTTGCCGAAGGCCGCCGAGAGCCACGCGGGCGGTACATCGTATTTTCGTTTGCGGCATTTTCTGCAGCCCATCGTCGCTTCCGGCTGTCTCCGATCGCGATCTAACATCTACGTGTTCAAGTGTGAAGGTCACGTTATAATACTGCACTTACAAAGATCGTGCTGCGATCCGAGCGATCGAGGGAACGGAACGCGGACGAGATAAATGCAATCGACTCGACGATTGAATAAAGATAACCGATTTGATTCGTTTTATTTAAACACTGATAACGCAAGCCCTGCGCTCTACGCAAATAATTTCTACCACACCGATAAGAGAGTATAATTTACTTACGTTCTCTTTTTTTCCCTCGGCGATTCCATCGCTCGAAATTAATCTCTGGACAATTTCTAACTTGCTAAGAATTCATTCCTTATACAGCTATTTTACATTGTTATTGATTATTGATGCTCTATCGTCTGAAAGAACCACTCCGTGAAACGTCGCAGTTGCTGCGCGGCCGCGTGATTCTCATCCTTCAGACGACGGTTTTCGTCTTCCAAGGAGAGCCGCATACTCTCGGACTCCTGCAAACGTCGATTCTCATCGCGCAATCGACGCACTTCGTCCTCCAACGAAAGTCGCAGGCGCGTCTCCCTCGCCATTCTCAGTTCGAGAGTGGACAGATGAGACTGCAAGTCCGAGACGGAATTCCTGCAATTCAAACGTTCTTGTTAATCGATCGGTCGCGGCGAATTGTGCTTTACATCGCGTCGAGTACTCACGCGTTCGCGTTGCATCCATCGATGAGCCTGTCGTCGGACCATTCTTGAGGGTGCTGCTGCTTCGTCGATCTGTTGGAATTCTCGTGTTGATTCTTCCAGCAGTCTACATTCGCGTCGTTGTGATTTTTCGTGTCTTTGATCGGCGTTAGATTGCTGTGCGGTTTCGAGAGCGGATGAAGCGGTTTCGTCACACGCGGCGATAACCTAAAAAGAATCGTTTTGTCAAAATTGTTATCGAGTTGAATAAAAATTATCCAGCTGTCGTTTATGATACACAACATTCTGCTTGTAAATTCACCCTCGAATTAAGAATTGTACCAATTCGTAAATTTTTCCATCGATCATTCATTTGTAATATAAAATTCTGTTAACACGCTTATTGAAAATCAAGTTTGCACATTTTTCCGTACCTCTCCTCTTTCGACAATTTATTTTCACTCGGCGCCGGGCTCGAGGCGGTGCTCGCGTTGGAGATCACCGTGGCTGGCCTGGCCATCGTGAGGATCACTTCCGATCCGTTGTTACCATTTTCCTGCCCGTTCGCGGGCAACACGCTCAAAGTAGACGCGCTGTTGCCGCACAGATTTTCCCTGGACCTGCATCTGTTCTGGATCTCCAGCATGTTGTTGTTCATTTTGTTCGAATTTTGATTCGGGCTCATCACGCTGTTCACGAGATTGTTATTAATAATTTGGTTGTCGTCGGCAATGTAGTCGGGATTGATGAGTCTCATGAGGTCCTCCTGGAGCGTGCTGGACGTCAGATTCGCCGAGTTTCGATGCGCCGAGTTCCTCATGCCGGGCTTCGGCCGCGGACTCTGATTCCTGGAGCTGCCGCTGGACGGCGTGCGATTGCCGCCGCGATGCTTGTTCGCTCGTCGCAGCCTGGGCGACACGCTGCCCGAGCCGTTCGACAGCTCGTCCTCGCTGGGCAGCGCGGCCACTTCCGGACCGCTGACGTCCGATATTCGCACTTCCGGCGGCAGACTCGTCGGGAAGTCCTTCGACTGACGGTACTCGACGTTCACCTTGTGCGGCACCGGTCGCTCCGACATGCTGGTCTTCAGACAGGTGACCTTTTCGCCCACTTTGAAGTCGTGCGGCATCTCGTACTTCATAGAGTCGCGATTGTGCTCGACGGCGTCGTTGCCGTGCTTCCTCTCGACGTTGTTGCCGTGCTGACACTCCATCTCGTACTTGGCCAGGTCCGCGTCGTACTTGCTGTTTCTCCTCTCGTAGATGTCCTCCGAGTACTCGTAGCCGATCCTCTTCTCGTGCGCTCGCACATCGTGCTCGTACTTGCCCGCCGACCGCTCAATCTTTTCCTCCTGCAGCTCGTACTTTGAGTTTCGGTCCGGTTTCGTGGGCGTCTCGTAATCGTGCTTGCCGGGCTGCTCGTACTCGTATCTGCCGATGTTGTTGTTGCTGCCCGACTTGGGCAAGCTGTAAACGGCGTTGTGCGCCAACGGCAGCGAATTCGACGCGGTGAGCTTCTGATGGCCGCCGTGATGCTGCGCGTCGTTCTTGTGCAGCTCCCGCTGAGAGGCGTACAGATTCTCCTGCTTGATCTCGTACCGCTCCTTCTGCATCTTCACGTAACTCGTCGTCACGTGATCCTGGCCGCGGTGCGCGTTCTCCAATTGCCGCTGGTAATTCTCGTGACGCGCGTTCTCCTGGATCACCTTCGACGACACGTAATTGCTCTCCTTCGTGTAATGCTCGTGATTGTGCTCGCGATGCTTCGAGCTCTCCGCGAGCTGCTTCGCGCTGACGTAATGCGACTTGTCCTTCTTCTGGCCGGACTTGCTGGGCGTCACGGCTTGGTAATTCTGTCGCGCCGGTAACGGCGGCGGCGTGCCGTCCGCGCGATGATTGCCGTCCTGATCCGGCGGCTCTAGAAGCTCATACCTGAAACAATAAGCACTTTACTTCCTCCTTATTTCCTTTATCGAGCCACATTAATTCGATACAACAGTGATTGATGCGATATCACGGCCAGCTTCGCACGTTCAACGATCGACAGTCCGAAAAGGACGTTTAATGTGTCGATTATCGACTGTTAATCACTCACCAACGATCATCGGCACTACTGTGTCCGCTACTGCTGCTAGTCATTGTGCCCTCCAACGGAAACCGCGGATCGTTGAACGATCTAGAGCTGGATCCAGTACCATACCCGGAGCTGTTGCTCGACCGCGGCGGGCTGAACGACCGATCGTATCGCCGTTGATGCGACATCGCCGTCTGCTGGCTCGGTGCGTTATCCGCGCTCGTCACATTCTCGTAATCCCCCTCGTAATTATTCGACAGGTAATGGCAGTTCTGCAACGCGCAGCCTCTGTCGTGTGGAAAAAAAGAGGATCGAGTGTAAATTTGATTTATTTTCTCACTCGAACCGAAAGTTGAAATTTGAAGCGATGCAAAAAATCTCTCATCTTTATTCGACTCTGTTTATAAAATGATTCGTGGAAAGAAGAGATGATTCGGGATGCCGTACCTTCGCGGATTTCCGTCATTCGTCGGCGGCACCACGGTGACGGTGACCTGGGCGCTGGTCTTCAGCAAATCGACCATCTGATCGTGGCTCAAGGTCGACACGGCCACCTTGCAAATCTCGACCAGCCTGGAGGCCTGCCGCAGGCCCGCCTGCCACGACAGGCCCATACTTTCGACCTGCGTCACAACGCCGTCCGGCTGAACGTGGAAGCCCAACTGTCCGAGGCTGTTCCTCTTCAGCGACAGCTCCGAGGCGGGCGCGCCTTGAGTTACGGCGCGCAGCCGAGCCACAATTTCCATTAACTCGTCCCTCTCGCCGTAATCGCCGCGTACGTGTATGGTAATGCACTCGCCTTGATGATGATACAATCTTAAACTGGAACGCGGTGCAAAGGCAAAAATGTTAAACCGCAATTAATCCTTCGATTTCCGATCGCTTCCCGAAGCGTTCTCACGATCGTGAATAATGCAATAAGCGGCGGTTGTGTTTAACGAGCGACTTTGAGGAGATATTATTGCGATTAAAAAGGTAAGGACTCTTATTAGCGTTAAAATATCAAAACTTTGAGATAACTGATTAATTCGACATTTCAAAAAGCAGAATAATTACCTATTCGTCTGAGCGTGCCATCCGAGCACGCTGATACACGGAGTGACGAACACCACCTGCCTGGAGTGTTCCTCGATCAGCACAATGGTGTCTATGCTTATACCTAAGTAGCAGTCTGTGTTCTGATTGCTGTCCTCGAGTATGACTTGCCAGCAAATCGCGCCGCGTTGGGACGCGTCGCAGGAAAGTCTCGGTCGTATCGCTGCCTTTTTCTTGCTGCTGAAGGAGAGCATCGCTGTTTCGAGAGAAAAAAAAAAGAACAATAAGAATAGCATTGCATTTAAATAAATTCATGATTTAACATTCCTCAATTATACAAGAATTAATATATTTAATGAAGGATTTAGTTGAAAAACGGAACTGCTTCATCAAAATATATTTGAATATTCTTACAATTGAAAATGAATCGCTAAAAGCGTTACGTACAGAACTTCTGGCCCGTGTCGACGACTGTGGTGGTGGCGTAATTCGTCGCCAGGTCCTTTAAATACTCCTGTCTCGTCCTCGTGGCCATCGTGGCGAATTTTTCCGACCTGCAGAAAGGTGTATATTCAGCGCGGTTAAATTTATCGGCGCGTGAAACCGAAAAAGGAAGGAGGACGTGCGCGGTTTTATACCTGTGAGCCGCATTTTCGGCATTTATGACCTTGGCCAGAATAAAGTCCGCGAAAGCCTTTCCCTTCGCGAATGTAGCACCCTGCGGGACAGGTGGCCCGAAAATCGGCACCTCCTTGCTCCTGGACACCGCCACGCTGTACTGCGTGTTGTCGGTGCAGGGATTTACGGCCCGCACGATGATAAATACGTGCTGGAACTGCGAGCGTATCCTTCGCGGGCTGAATGGCAGTGCGCCGGGTTCCTGAAAAACGCGCGACAAGACCCTTTTTGTCAACACAAGCGAGCGAATCTATTTATACAAAATATTTAATTGTGTTACATAAAGCACTTTTAATTGACAAAGTGATGCGAGTAAATCACTTCTGACGTAACTGCACTCAAAAAAATGATCTTGCAATAATAGCTAAAATTTTCTAGGTGTAAAAAATTAACTAAAATAGATAAATGATTAGCAACTGTTGTGATATTGCATATGTAATTACTTAGTCAGTTTAGATGACAGAAACAGAATATATATCTGTATTGTTTGTGAACTTTAAAAAGAAAGTTTCTCTAAAGCGCCTAAAAATTAATCTATATAAGATCAATCACGTGTTAGATCATGCAATGAATAACATTTAGCAATGGTACCTAAATTTTTCAGAAGCTATTGCTAGAACATTACTGTTATAAATTCTATATGTGACAAACAATGTTTTCACAGATACGAAAAATAGCGATACATTCTTGTTGCAATATCTAGAAATCTAACTACATCAGCGAAATATTTTTTTGAGTGTGCGCGCGCGCGACGCGCGTAATTCCGATCCGGTTGCAAAATTAAATATTCAATAAAGTGAATCATTCAAGAGACGCGGCTGACGACGGCTCTCGATGAGCAAGCGAATAATGAATTCAGCAAGAGAGGTCGTGCGTCACATCTCGGGCGAATCGCCGCGCGATTCGTCATTGCACGACCGCGTAGTCGTCGCGCGGCTTTTAATTCACGAACGGCGAAACTGTACCTGAAAAACTATCGTCACGATGTCGTTTCCGATGTGCCTCTTTCTCAGCAGCTGTTGCCGGTTGTTAGGCGTGAAGGGTAGCATGGTGGACACGTGAAAGGTGACTTCCGCTGCGCGATGGGTCGCCGCTACCGCGTGCGTACCCGTCGAGTCGGTTCTGGTGTCCAGTCCGGCCTTGTAGCCCTCGAATCCTCGCAGTCTTATTCTTTGGCCTGTCATGGAAACATGCAATTATCTCAATTGCCCGGCGATGAATCGCCGTTCGCTTCGATACGCGTCTTCGTCGGAGCGCATTCGTATTTGCACGCCGTGCCGTCAATTTCGCTTTGTACGATTGTATTATTAGAAACGCATTTATCGAGAAGAGTGCATATTTTCTCGAGGAAAATAAAGAAAATATCGACAAATTTCCATTTCTCGTTCCGACAACGTCTCTGAAAGGAACATTTTTGCCGGAAAACATTGTAAAAAGGATACTTTCTATTACACTAGTTAAATCTGCGCTTGAAAAATGTTACAAATCTCTTCAAACCATTTTCTGCTTTTAGGATTACGCGCCGTTGATAATAGCGTCCACAAATTAAGACGAGATAATCATCGGCTTGCGGAAGTCGCGCGAAACGCAACGCGGCGCGACGCTCGGGGAAAAAAAAAAACAGGGCGCACGTTTCTCTTTTAGAAAGTGACAGTTGCCGTTAATATCGGGATAACTAAGGCGATGGTAAACACAGTGATTCGCAACGGGTCCACACGCAACAACCGCGAAATAGCGCGTTCGCGAACGATTAGCGTTACGCGATACATTAGGTGGAATCATTCCGGAGCACTGAATCGGTTAACTGCCGATAAAGCGGTTCGCACTGTCCGCGAAGCGGACCGGCGAATAATAACGGTAACACCGTGTGCGAATCGCACTTCCGACTGTTTTATTCGCGTTATTTACGAGAAAATCGTTTTATCGACTTCCGACGGGAATTTTCCGACTCACCAAGCTTCATTAACTCGCTCGTTTATGCGCGTATCGCGAAAACTTTCTCGCGGAGATATGTGCTTATGCATTTCCTAACAAACAACGTTAGCAGAAGTGAAAACAATCCTGACGGAAAAGAATTATTTTTAATAATGTTTTATATGGATAATAATGAAGGAATGCTAGAAAGCAGGATTATTTATGCTGAAGTAAAAGCGGGGAACAAAAGGAGATCCTGCGCTTTATAAATATTCCAATAAATTTATATTGTTTGCAAAGTATTCGTTTCGTATTTTAATATGTGTATTCATATTTCAATCAGGTACGAACGGAATCGTAATATACAATTTACTTTCTTCGAAAGTATATAATTCTTTCTCTCTTTAATTATAGAAACTACTTTATTCGCATTAATAAATCCTGATTATTTCCTCAAATTTTGCAAAGAAAGCGACATACCGATGGTGTCCAGGAACTCGAGGAAGGCCGGGCCGGCGTGCTGATTGTTGTACATCTCCTCCTCGGTCCTTTGGCCGGATCGGCAATACAGAACGCCGACCTTGTATCGGTTGGACAATCCCTGCTCGTCCAATCTAGCCAGCGCCTCCTCGGCGGCGGTTGTGCCGAGCCTCAGACAGCCCAGCTGGACTTCCGGCGCGACCAGCTCCAGCAGCTCCCTCGTGGGCGGTCGTCCTTGCGGCCTGATGCCGAGGGCCTCCTCCGGCACGGTGCCGCGCAGCGTCAGCAATTCCGACGTGCGGACGACCACGCGGTACTGATTGACGTCCTTGCGGATGCTGATGGCCACCGGTCCCAGCTGCTCGTCCATACCGAACCAGTTCTGATGCTCTCGTCCTGCGACAGGATATTTCGTTTTCTTTACGCCGCGAAGCACTTTAAGCGAACGGCGGAACTCGTCGCAAGCTTTTGTATCGAATCTCTGCTAACAATCATTTTCTTTTCAATTATTATTTAATCATTCCTTTTTGCTTCCATTTACTGAAATAAAAGTTGGTTCGAAAAATTTAATTTGCAGCGTGCGATGTCCCTTCCGCAAAAGTCCTCCGCGACACAAAAGATTCGCACAACTGTCGCTCGCTCACCGAGAAAGTATCGCCGGTAATAGTGCGCCCCCTCGTCGACGCTCTCGATGGGCAAGGATCGCTTCTGCAGCGGACAGGTGTGCTTCCACAGCGTCTCGCCGGGCGGCGGCTCCAGGACGGAGACGCCGTACGACAACGACGGTCTATGAATCCCGCTGCCCTGGGAGCAGCGAGTGAGACCGACCTCGCGCTCCCCCTCGCCGCCGATCTCGTTGCGGAAGAAGGGACACGGCTCCAGCAGGTCGTTACCTGAAACCGGAAGAGGTGAAACTGGTCAAAGCCCTGTGAAGAAACGCCGCGCGGCGATTGTTTCGCGTCCTTTCCTCTTCGCGAGGCGTACCTTTCCCGTCGCCGACGTCGTCTTCGGGAGTCTCGTCCGGCGTCGAGGCTCTCAGGGTGCTGGCGGCGGACGCGCCGGTGGCCGTGTTTCGCCTCCTGGCCAGGAGAATCCCGCGGAGCTTCGCGGCGTAGCCGAGATTCGCCGTCAACGACTGACAGTCGTAGTGGGCGAACGCGCGTCTCCGATGCCGCTCCTCCACGTCGGCCGACACCACCGGGCTCGGGCAGGCGTCCTCCATCGTCCGCGGCGGCTTGCCGCCCCACAGTCTGTTCAGCTTCAGCCGCAGCTTCGGACTGGAACCGGCGCCGGTCGGACCGCAGACCTCGTCGACGTCGAGCGGCTGCCCGGGCCCGTCCGGCTGATGAACGCGGCGCAGATAGTCGCCGGGGATGATGCCGCGTTGCTCCGGCGGCCGGAAGTCCTGCAGCATGGCGAAGAAGTTCTCGCCGGCCGTAATGGACTGCGCCACTACGTCGATGCTTCCTGCGGCGGATTAATTGAAAAAAAAGAAAAATGCGTTTACAATAAACTCCTGGAGTGGACAATTTGACGAAGGGAACGAATCCTAAGAAAATGTTGAACGCAGAAAGTTGAGATCAACATCGAAACTGTTGTTCCGATTACAAAATTATGCGAAGAAGAGTAAATTGTTTTGTGTACAATTACTTTCCGAATTCGATTCTGATTCAATCTCGAGCAAATAATTTTCATTGTTGCCTCGTGAGAGCAGCGTTATAATGTAAATCTCGCCGGTTCTTCTTTAAAAACGAACGGGAAAAGTTCTATTCTCTCGTACCGTGAGATCCATACTCCCTCCGAAGAGGCGTCTCCGGCAGCCGGGACGCAGGATCCGGACTGTGCGGAAGCTCCAAGCTGGAGTTGGACCTGTGCAGGGCCAATCCGCGGCCCACACGGCTCAACCGGTCGTTGATCGGCAGACTCGCGATCATCTCTTCATTCTGTTGACAGAAAAAAAAAATTGCAAAGGTGAGAATCGCACAACGAGAATGTGCAATTTATAAATTGAAACACTACGCTGCTCGGAAGAACCATCGATTCGTGAAATTTCTTTTAATCGGCAAGCACATTCCTCGGCCGTTCACGTTTATTCGAAAGCAAGAAGCTGGATAGTTGAACTTAGGCCGCGGCTTGAGTTGAGATAAACTTAAGTGTCTCTAAACAAGCGCAAACTAGGACGGCTAATTAGAATCATCGAGACTTTCGCAGTTGCGCATCTCCCCGCTTGGCTACATAAACGCGTGCGATAAATGCGCGCGCGCACACACACACGCATACATAGTTGCACATGTACAAGCGAGATATATACTCGAGGGTTCTACATATTCGCGCAACGAGTTCATTCATCCTGCGGAGTAGCTCTCGTGCCGTTGGCGACTTTTTTCCTGTCCTTCCCTCTTAATTAAATTGGCCCTTAATTACGATAGCAAGGCCGACGAGACGACGTGAAAGCAAAGAGTAGAGATAGGATAGATTAAAAGTTGCGGGGAAACGCTGGTCTTTGCTCGTCTCTCTCTCTCTCTCTTTCTTTCTCTCTCTCGCATTGCCGCTGTTACTACGATAGGTTCAAAAAGTAAATTGCGCTTTTCATGCTTTCTTGTCGCTAATAATATTAAATATAACAAAATTACTGTAGAACAATTTTTCCCCGCCGCTTTAATCCGCACTAAGTAATTTTTGTTGTCGTGTTTCGCGAGAATAACACGGAACGCAATAAAGATTAATTATCTCACGTTAAAATTTCTCCCACCTCGCGTTTGAAAAATTTCATTTATTCGAAGCATTGTTTTCTTTTCCAACGCTTAGGCCTCGTTAAACTTCAACTTCACTTCGTTCGTCGCCGCACATTTATCTTCCCTCCCAGTCGTTTGTTTATCCGCGTGGATTTCTTCCGCGCAAATTTATATAAAGCGTCTTTAAATTATATTGCCGGCTTGAGAAAAATTGAACAAGGTGAATTTCACCACCACGCCGTCCAGTTGAACTCTCCGAGGGGAGGTCACGATCACCGCGGGCCCCCGCTTCTGGTTGGTATTCGGACTGGCGCCGTCTGGTTCTCTCTCCTCTCTTCCGCAGGAGGGAGCGTTAATTAGTCCCGTTCCAGATCCTCGTGCGAAGTGCGCAGCGTTTCATTGTCGGCGGCGGCGGCGGCGGCGGCGATGCGGTGCCGCGCGCACGCATCTACGCAATGCGGGAGAGAATCGGCGCAGAGCGCACCTGCCGATCGGCGTGAAATTAGCGGTGTGCGCGCGCTGTTCGCCAAATGTCCTCCCGGAATGAATGCCCGTCACTCGCGATTGCTAACCCCGTCGCAGCCTTGCGTGTCCGGCGACCGCTAATACCGTATTATTTTAACGACACACGCCGCATCCGGGAACAATGCACGCGCGCCACGTGTCCGGCGGCGACTGCTGACGGGTTCGAGAGATCGGGTCGCGTTACTCAACTCCGGCGAATGTTCGCGGTGCAGAAACGATATCCAGATTTCTAATGTAGGACAGACTCGAGGAGCGAAGCGGTCTCGTCTTCGGGACGCGTCGCTTTCTTATTAATCATTTTAAATTCTTTTTTCGATCACCACGTCAATGAACTTCGAAGTTGAAACGTATTCAACAAAGTAGGATGTCTGCGACAATTAACAGGAGAGTCAAAATGTGAATAAAACTGCAATGGAAAATAAAAAGTGCACTCACAATCAGATAATGGTGATAAATTTCATTAACATTTCAGTGGCTTCCTTTCCAGCAATTGCGGACATCCCACTTTCCTTTCGTTATTACCCTAATCGCGTATGAAAAGATACGGCCGTGTTGCTCAACGCCGCGTGTGCGTGCATCCGCTGCACCACGGCTCGCCTCGCATCAGATACCGCTCGCGCACAATGCGCCGCGTTATTCGGCTTCACGCGCGATCGACATGCCGAACTTCGCCCCCTCGGCTCGGAATGGAGCGACGAGTGACGACGCGTCGCGAAAAACGGGAGCTCGGGCGCCGGTGGTATTCGGCGCGAGGAGCAGCTCGGGTGGTTCATCGGGGAACGTCGACGGGCCCGTTGCATTCCGCGCATTCCGCGCGTCCCCCCGCTACGACCGCTCGCTCGCTCGCTCGCTCGCTCGCTTCTCGCCGCCGTAGTTTCGTATGCACCGGATGCGCGGATAGCGACCCGACGTCCGCCTAGCCGGAGAATGCACGCACGCCTCTCGCATATTAAATCTTCGACCATTATCGCGATGTCAAATCGAAACGTCGGAGGTGGCTCTCGAACGCGACTTCACGTCGCTCTGCTGATATCTTTATAATTTTACACCCACCGCCTTCCGCTTTCCAAAGAAATAGTGAACGCCGACTCCGCTTGTCGATCTACTTCGCGCTTTTAACGCTAATCATTACGTATTCGAGCGGAAATTTACCTTTCGCATTCTTCTCAAAATGTATTCCGCGCCTCTCCGAGCGAGAAGCTTGCGGGCGGTAAATTTGTAAAATACTAGATTCGTGCCACCTCCCGCCGCACTTACGTGCCCGGCGAGCGTGCGTGGGTGAGAATGCATCGTGCGCGATACCACGCAGAGAACAAGTAGCCGCGACCTGCATAATGCGGGTCTCTATCTCAAGGCAGCGCGCAGCAGTGTCTCGTGTCTGTTTCACGCGTGAAACTGCGTCTAACACGGGGCACCAATCGCGCCTCTCCGAGGCTCTTTCGCAGAGAGGATCTTTTCGCTCTCGCACAGCGTCTCGCCGCGTATTATCGGTGTGTTCTGAGCGGGCATTGTTGTGCGCGCAATCAGTAAGAAAAGCATGTTATATTATCTATTATTTGCGCTTATCAAATGCATTGTTTAGGCCAGCCAGGCGCAGTTTACGATGAGAAATTGAATTTAAACAAGCATCTGAAAGTGAATTAATTCATGTTAATTGATACATGCGCGATGTATTATTAAGACCAACTTCACACCATCAATTTAACTCTTATCGGCCCGTGTATTTTAAACGATTGACATAAGAAAGCCTCATTTCATGCGTTTAATTCGCCAACATTAGTTTAATATATTTTCTCTCTTTCTGACTTATTCGTAATGTTCAATGCTTCGAGTTTATCACCATCTGTTATTTCTGCTTTAAATAGTCTTATTCGGAGAGTTTGAATAAAATTGAGTAAATATATGGCAAACAGAAGCGTGAAAGAGCGCGAAAGAATGAACACGGCTGCGAGTAGCCGGCGAGGCGATAATGGAGAAACTTAAGAACCAATCCCACGGTCAGGCCGAGTTGACTCATCGAGCACTCGGCTCGCCAAGGACAACCGCGTCCGCGAGTTTCGTTCCGCCGGAAGGAAATACTTACGTTCGCTCGTAAACAATCGCAATTGTGCCGCGCGATATTAATATCGAATCGCATTGACACAATTATTCGGCTCGTTCGCAAAGATACGAGTTAACCTCGAAAGCGGTGACGCGCGCGCGTAGCGGATATCTCAGAATATCTTACGAATTCTCGAGATTTTTTTTCCACCATTCAATAAAACGCAGAGATTAAAAATATGTGCGCACGTATATCGACACATGAATTCCTTCACATTTGCAATTAACCGTAAAAAAATGTTAAATGTTACCGAAATTCAATCTGACAAGCTTGCGATCAGCAGTTGCGCGTAATTAATCGATTTGACGTTCGCAACGAGGCTTAAGAGACAAAACAGAAGAAAAATGACGGAGTTGGAATAAAAAAATTGTGTTTACAATTCCGCCGTATGTCCGTCGCTTCACAGCTCGTTGCGCAATGTACTGGATTATGGGAGTCAGGTGATGACTGGACGTCAAGTATCGGCATGACAAGCTTCATGTTACATCAGCGCGTAATCAGGGCTTACGCGTTTTCGTCTCGTCGCGTCTTCGCCGGACGACAGCTGTTCCGCCCGTACTTCCTTCACGTGCGATCGACGGCCTTGTAGACACACGCGGTGATTTATTCGACGATTCCCCGCGCGCAAACAAACGCGGATGGCACAGCTTAATGTCCGATGTTTAAACGCGTCTGAATGGTTCATTCATCGCTTCGATATTATTGCTTCTTTATCGTTTAATTAACACATCGCTCCCGTCGTTTCGCCGGCCTCGAATAATCGCGAAATTGTAATAAGAATTTTTCTTCCAGAAATACTCATTTCTTTATAAAATAGCAAAATAATGGAGTAAAAATAGTTGGTCGCTTTTTTAATTTTTTTACCGTGCCAACCGCAAGTGTACCGAGCGCATTTCATGCACTTCACTCGCGCGAACGTGATTCTCGCCGGACGGGCTCGCCGACAAAGTTACGGTCGAGTCGCGACGAGAGAGAGAACGACAGCCGATGTTACACGTTCCGCAGTCACTCCGCGGAGATAAGGGGACCACCTTCGAACTACCGAGAACTACTCTCGCGATGCCGCGATAACCGGTCGCGAACGGTCGTCATACGGCGAGCGCGGGCGGGTGGCCCCCGCGGCTGATTACGACGACGAGCGCTCGCGGTGATCAAACGGGTTCCGATACGGTAAAAAGAGGAGCCTGGAGATCGGCGGCGGAGGAAATCCGAAGAAATTCGCGGGCGTCCGCTTCTGACGAAGCGCGCGGAATGAGATAATCGCGATTATTTACGACGAGATACATCGCGATTGCGGGAGCCACCGTGATTTAACGCTGACCTTTTCGCAATCAACGGGACACGCGTCCCGCTTGCGACTTTTGCGAGAGATCTCGCGGATTCCAGTTTCGAAAGCTTTTTTCCGGCAAAAATTGAAAATTGAGAAATTCCGAGCAAAATTGGCTCTGATATTCATTTGGAGGAATAGAGACGGTAAGAGCCGAATCGACGAATCTTATAAACAAACACATTATCAATTGATAATGTGTTTGTTTATAAAAAATTACTGACTGATAATTCAGACAAAAGTGTTTGAAGTTTT